AGGCAAAGTTAATGCAACCCGTGTCAGGAAATGAATAGGTGCGATCAGTAGGATTACTTGGCATGAAAAAGCTGCAGCAGCCAGAGGGCGTCACTAGAGTGAAGCAGAGCCAAAAACATGCAAGGCTGGCGGCCAGTAAACTGCTTTCTTCCAAGGAACTGCACCTGCCCTAACTATACTGAGAGAAGACAGGCAGAGAAGCTCTCAAAGCCTGAGGAGCCAAATTGTTCAGTCAAATGATTATGTACAAAAACCAGTGCTGCAGCTTTATGGTGGGGGTCATTTTAATTGCAGATCAATATTAACAAAGCCTGATTTTAAACATGAACCTTGCCACCACACTGCCATCAGATCCCACTGGGCTTGCGGCACGTTTACAAGCATGTACTTCAGTCTTGCTTGGTGGAATGTTTTCAGACACTGATGCTGTCACCACACTCCCAGATGGATGTGGTGGCCAGGAGAGTTCTGTAAGATTTGGGGCACCAATATAGTATTTTAGGCATTTAAATGCCAACAAGAGACCTGGATGAAGAGTGAAAGAGGCAAAAGGAAAGAGAACAGATTCATTGCATCACAAAGTAACCACTAGGAACTTTTTAACTTCAACAAAAGAGTTTTCCTGCCCAGAATTCACCGTGAGCAGGTCTACCATGCAGCCAAGATCCAGGTTTGTTGCACAGGACAGAATGGGGGTCAGACCAAAATTCAACCTTGGTTTCAGCCACAGAACAAGAGCAGCTGCAGCAAATGCCATCCTTTATGGTCCTAGAAGAAACAGAGAAACCCAAGGCAGAAATGTTCTTAGGAGTGCAGGGACTGCTGCTCAGTATGATAAACTTCTACCAAGTCCCGGATTAGGATTCAGCTCCTGCATGTGAAAATCCCACTGCTTCTTAGTTACAAGAGTGGATCAGGCCGTGCCTTTAAAAGCAACAGCTCTCTGACCCAAATAGTTGCCTGGTAGCTCTTCCAGCAATAGCTTAGTTCTAAAAGTTACCTTGCCTAGGAGATGCTGGGCAAATCTTAAGATTCGCTGTCCAGCCTCTCCTACCAAGGACCTCTGCTGTGAAGGGAATGGTGCAGTCATTCAGAGGAGTTCTGGCTCCTCTCCCCCACAGGAGTTTGTAAAAGCATCAGGCACATGCAAGACAGATTAGTTAGATCAATGAGTGATAAATCAAAACACTACCCATCAGTACAACTGTGCCAGTAGAAAGCACAGATCTCCATGTTAGGGGAAAAGCAGAGTCCAACACAATCTGAAAGCAAGAGGCAGAATGGAGGAAAAAAACAGTTTGCAATGCCATTTCTTGGACAGAATACTGACTACATCATTCAACATCCTCTAGGGCAGCAGCAGGCAATAACTGGCCCACGGGCCAGATGCTGTATGCCAGGGTTAGCCCCTTGCAGGATGCTGCTGCTGTTTTTACCGGTGCATCTGTGGGCACAGATGCTTGCAGCTCCCATATGGCCGTGAATTGCTGTTCCCAGCAGGGAAGTAAAATCCCATTTCATTAGTTAACTGGCTAAACAGGGCAGCCGGGGGGCTGCTCCAGCCCCCAACAGTTAACAGTAACCAGTAAGCATTGCCTGTTAAGGGTGAGGCTTTCCAGTTAACCTATTACTCATTAACATCTCCAATTCCCACCCAGTGGAAGCTGTGGGGAGCAGCGTCCCAGTCCGTGTCACTTCCTGCAGCTCCCATTGGCTGGGAACCCTGGAGCCACACGTAAATAAAACGGCAGAGGCCCACCAGCGGCTAACCGCCTCTGTCTTATTGCCCACCTCCACTTTACTGCCCGGGCCACTTCACACCACAGTGCAACACTGAGCACCAGCTTCACCGTGTGAATGGGAATTTTAGCAATACTAGGGACCCTAATGTATTTTAACCACATCTCTTCTGAAATTCAAAGGCAATTGAATTAAGCTTCACTGGGCTTTTTAACCACATCTCTTCTGAAATTCAAAAGCAATTGAATTAAGCTTCACTGGGCTCGTTTGAAAAAGCATGTGAATTCCTAGCCATTTATTCACCTGCTTTATATGAGATGAAACATGTTGCTGAAAGCAGATCAATATGCTATAGACAGATTGAATTCAATGGTTTTGAGTGTGAAAGCAAAGCAAGAAAGTGGCAGAGGGAGACAGACATGAGCATAGAACAAAGCAGCCTATATCAGCTTTCCTCCTAGGTCATTTTAAGTACCTCCAGAGGGCAAGTTCAGATAGCTGCTGTGGAAACCAAGTGTAAAGAAAAGGAACTTGCCAGCAAGCATTTCCAGGTGATCAGAGCATTTAGACAGAATCTTATGCTTCAATATAGCTTCCACATGCATCCTGTTATTTGTATTGTTAACCATTAATGCAGCATCAGAGCTTTGCATTGCAGGAGAGGGTCACTGCCCCAAGGAACTCTCTTTCTAAAGAAGATACAGAACACAGCAGTGATGGATACAGGGAGAAGGTAAGAAGCTTAAAATATAAGCCAGTTATTAGTATGACCATAGCGGGGAGAGGCCCTGCAGTGCAGGGCACAAGCACAGAGTGGGCTAGCCCCAGCACTGAAGAGTTTACCATCTAAGCAGACAAGAGAAAGGAAGGATTAGCGTCACTGTTTAAAGGGGCGGAACTGAGGTAAGCAAATCTGATCTATTCAGATGCTTTTAAGCACATACTGAGCTAGGAGGAGGAGCTGACAGCCAGGAGGGGAGGTCAATGATGAAAAGAATGGGGGGGGGGGGGGGGATTTTTTTCAGGCACAGGGAGCATCATGACCTAAAAGTCTGATGAAGACTCAAAGGAAGCAATAAGGAACAAGAGCAGAGTACAGCACCTGAGATGGACAAGGACAGGGAAGACGTGAGGGCAGAGGAATGGGGGATTAGAGAGAAGGCTGCTGCCTAAATGTCGTACAGCAAGCACAGTTCTAAAGCTGCAGGAGTTCACTTTCTTTCCTCCTTTCCAATCTCAGTTGTGTATTTTTAATCAGATACAGTCCCATCCCAGTGATGGGTACACTCAGTCTCTCGGCAGAGTTCCAGTGACAGCCACTGTCTGCAGCATTGCTCTTGATCATTTATTCAACACCTGGAGGAGGCAGTCAGTATTGACAAATTTGTGTGTCTGTCTACAGATAAATATATTGCTGACTAGGGGTATGTCTAGACAACATGCCTCTGCAGACAGAGGCATGTAAATTAGACATACCGACATAGTCAATGAAGCGGGGATTTAAATATCCCCCGCTTCATTAAAATAAAAATGGCTGTCGCGCTGTGCCGGCTCAGCTGATTGTCGGCACAGCGCGGCAGTCAAGACGCAGATCAGTCGACAGGGAAAGCCACTGTCGACCGACCCCTTATGCCTCGAGAAACCCTGTTTCTCCCCCGCTTCATTGACTATGTCGGTATGTCTAATTTACGTGCCTCTGTCGGCAGAGGCATGTAGTCTAGACATACCCTAAGTGATCAAATGGGGAACTGCACATAAAATCCAGGGGACAGTTTTGGAAGCCAAAAGTCAGGTGGCTTCCCGGAAATCCAAAATGAAGTATGCTCTGAAGTATACAATTCCAAAGAACCCACCCTGCACAGGCAGTGGAAACAAAAGCATCAGTTCACACTTTGTCACATAAAACAAAGCAGAGTCATGCAGTTTAATGCAATAGGAGTAATGTGGCACCTACACATACAGGAAATGAGCAGCTATACCTGACCACAGTTTATTACCAAGATCTCCTCTGGATTAATTCAAGAAAGGAAAAGGAATTTAGTCCAGAGTTTCCACTCTAGAGAGTATTATAGTCACGTGATGAGGAGAATTTCAGGATTCTACATTCCTCTGTATACCACAGCAAAACAGAATGATTCTCCAACTGTACATATGCATAGCAAAGAGGAGGGAAAAAACCTCCTGTCATATTGGAGAACTTGCGTTAGCTACCTGAATTACGAACTTTTATCATAGAGGGCCCAATTCATAAATTGTGTTCTCACTTAGTCCAATACTACAGGTCACAGCACTGGTCACAGCACTACTTCCAATCTCTTTATGAGTATGTCCTATTAGTTCACCTGAATGATTATTATGCCTAAGGTACACAATCTGAAGAGTTTAGTTTACTAGATTATCCAACCATTCAGAGTCTTGGAATTCAGAGTTAGTTACGAGTGATTCTTCTGTTCACATCACCAGATGTCCACCTTCTACACTCTCCTTAAGCAATGGGATTATAACCCAGCAAACACAGTAAAAATTAATCATATAAGGATGAAAGCTTTTGATGGTTTGTTCTTGGAAAGGGTAAAACTACTGCCCAATCTTTAAGCCACATACTTCTCTCGGATAAATTAAACATTAATAGATCTAGGTATACAAGAACTGAAAATTCACTGATTACCCTACGCTGTAACCTTTTCCATTCTCTGGCCATAAAGAATATCTAAACTGCCTCTGTTATTCTGTGTTTCAAGCCAGAGCTGAGGAAAAGCTCTGTGTAAGTTCAAAACCTTATCTTTGTCACCAATAGAAGTAGGTCCAATAAAAGGTATTACCTTCCCCACCTTGACTGTCTCTGTGTTATTCTGTCAATTAAGATAGGAATTATAACTGCACAGCATAATGAAATTCACCTACCTTGACATACTCTATTGTCCCCAGAATAGCACAAATACAATATTAAAAGTCATGTCTTTACAACCACAAATCGACAGATCTCCCATGATTTTGCATTATATATGTTCTCTCTAGATACTGATCTATTCTCCCATAAATTATGAATCACGGGAAGTTCACACGGCCAGAATAATAGGCTGCAGAGATTTTGGATCTTGGAGGCAGATTGCTCAAAAAGTCAACAGCTGGGAGGGTGCACATGTTTCCCAATCTGCTTATTTTCCCCATTCTGCCTTTTCTCTCCACACGGTAGCACACAGAACTAGCACAAAAAACAGGGGCTTCTTGTAAAGAAGGCAAGTGCCAAAGAGAATTACCTGTGCAAGAGATCTCCAGGCACAAGATAGAAAGGGAGGAGGCACTGAGACAAGGGGGATGGGATGAGTCCAGGACAGACACCCCACAGAAGGGAAGGCTTCCTGCGACTCCACTCCCATGTTCCCAGCCTCCAGCTACCCTCCTCTCTGTTCAGGGGAAGGGAAAGGAGGATGAGGACTAGCTGCTCTTCACAGACACACGCAGAAAATGCAATTTACGTTGACAACTATTTATAAACATGCGGGGAAAACTATTTATATGCAGTTGCATTTCCCACATCTCCATCTCCTCATCTCCAAACCATTCCCCACTCTTCAATGTCCCTGTTTTGGCTAATGGCCCTCCTAGCGAGGCTGGGCGATAACCACATAGGGCACAGAGAGCTATAAAATGCTCACTTCAATGCCCAGCTCCTGTCCCAGTGACAATCAGAACCCTCTCACCAATCCCCCACCCACATAGATATTTGCTGTGGCACCCCTCTCTCCCAATGCCCCTTCCTCACGTGGCCTGCAGGCTGCCCCTACTCGCCCTCTCCCCCACACTGTCCCAATCATCCCACAGATTGGCCCTGCTTAGCCCCATCCTGCTCTTCCCAACACGACCCAAACCATCCTACGCATTGCCAATGCTCAGTCCAACACGGCCCCATCCCACCCTCACCGACACTGTCCCAACAGAGTCCACGCAATCATGGTGCCCCATCTGCCTCTGCACCCCTGATCCCCCGGCACCCCGCTCCCAACCCCCTCCCACCCCCATCCCAGCTGACTGCTTAGCCCCATCCTGCTCTTCCCAACACGACCCAAACCATCCTACGCATTGCCAATGCTCAGTCCAACACGGCCCCATCCCACCCTCACCGACACTGTCCCAACAGAGTCCACGCAATCATGGTGCCCCATCTGCCTCTGCACCCCTGATCCCCCGGCACCCCGCTCCCAACCCCCTCCCACCCCCATCCCAGCTGA